TTTTCAACCTCTTTTCTCTACCTTAAGTTCTTTTCTCAATTTCTTTTCTCTGTAATAGAGGGACCTGTTGGGTTGTTTATGAATGTGTGTGTGTGTGTGTGTGTGTGTGTGTGTGTGTGTGTGTGTATTGGTCCTGGGTCTTGAACTCAGGGCCCGGGCACTGTCCCTGTGCTTTTTTTGTTCAAGGCTAGCACTTACTACTTCAGCCACAGCTCCACTTCTGGCTGTGTGGTAGTTGATTTGAGATAAGACTCTCATGCACTTTCCTACTCAGGCACACTTCAAATTGTGATCCTCAAATTTCAGCCTCTTGAGTAGCTAGGATTACAAGTGTGATCCACTGGCACCTGGCTTAGGGACATGGTTTTTGAAGGAAAAAAATCTTTTTTTGGGGGGGGTGGGAAAGTCCGGTCGTGGGGCCTGAACTCTGGGCCTGGGCGCTGTCCCTCAGCTCTTCAGCTCAAGGCTAGCCCTCTACCACTTGAGCCACAGTGCCACTTCCAGCTTTTTTTTTTCTCTTTTTGGTTATGTGGTGCTGAGGAATCGAACCCAGGGCCTCATGCATGCAAGGCAAGCGCTCTACACTGAGCCACCTTCCCAACCTCTAAAGGAAAAAAAATCTTAACCCCATATTCCTTTGGAAGGGGAGTATTAACAATGGGATTCAAGGTCTATGTGACATTGTGTGAGGGGCCATTTTACCTACAACTATAGCTCTACTTATCCTACTAAAAGGCAGTGCAAAGAAGTCTTGAGAGGAAATAGTCTCTCAATAAAACATTGAGTTAAGGGGCTGGGAAGGTAGCTCAGTGGTAGAGCACTCGCCTTGCATGCCTGAGGCCCTGGGTTCGATTCCTCAGCACCACATAAGCAAAAAGAAAAGAGCCGGAAGTGGCGCTGTGGCTCAAGTGGTAGAGTGCTAGCGTTGAGCTGAAGAGCTGAGGGACAGCACCCAGGCCCAGAGTTCAGGCCCCACCACCAGACCCAAAAAAAACCAAAAACCAAAAAAACATTGAGTTAAATCAGTGAACAACTTATAAGGCTTCTTATTCCCTCTAAACAATTCCCTCTCCATTTTTATTCTCTCTGAACAATTCTTATTTTTCTCTAAATGATTCATATTCCCTCTAAATAATAATTCTTATTCCCTCTAAACAATTTATAAGGCTTCTCATTCCCTCTACGAGGTAGATGGTATGTTTCCTGATGAGTAAGCTTCAAGCCAGGTTCTATTTCCTCCCGGCTTCTCATGTAATTGTGACCATTATAGAATGTATCTTTCCCATTGTCCAAGAGTCTCACTGTGGTGTTTGGATTTGTGGTCAATAGTAGTGGGGCTTGCTGTATGTTTTCAATTAGCCATACTTTTAAGGAAATGGCAAAAATAGCACATGTATTTTCAATTAAAATTTTATTGTTTTTAAAGATATAAACAGAAAATATTTGTGCTTTGTCTTTGAGCTCTAAGCTGTACAAAAGGGAAGCAGACCTCTTTTTATGATCTTTTGAAAATGAAAAATTTTTATTTTTTAAACTCGTTCTTGACCGAGATGTAAAAATATGACATTTGTCATTAATGAGGTATATGGTACCTCATTGATATGAAACAATATGACACAAATCAGTAAACAAAAGGCTTCAGAGCAACAAGACACAATGATGGAGGTCGCATTTACATAGGCTGAGTACAGTGGTGAGGACTAAGGTAATGTCCAGATCCTCACATCCCTGTAAGTTAAATGTTCCATGTAGTAAGGTTATGATACTTGCCAGAGATACACAGTTTGGAATGGTAGAGCCCAGAATCTGAACTCAGATCTGTCTGATTCCAAAGCCCTTATCCAAACCACTGTACAAACTGCTCTTGCACAAATGGAGTCCTGAGCATCAGAAACTCTGATCTTTCTAGCAGAGCAAGGCCAAGGGAGCCCCTCTGTGGTATCTGTCCGTCACAATTCATTTTCAGAAACCAGATAGTGTTAAGATTCTGTTTATAACTTGTAATTGTATTTTATGTTATTTTAAGAACATAGTTTTTGCATTTCCAGATTGCCTCCGAGAAAAACACATCTGTAGGCCTCTACCCAGGTCATGATTGTTTATAATCAATTCTTCTGTAAAATGTTTCCATTCTATCGTTTTTGTTGAACACAGATTTAGAAAACCACACAGTTCAGTAAGATGATGTGATTAACAAACCCTTGAATTGGTGCTATCTATGCCGTCAGTGATTTGGCTTTGATACTCATACCAGAAAGAAAGACAATTATTACCAAAACCACTTATGAGCTCCTTTTTCCATTGGAGAGTGAAAATGCTTTCTTTTTCACATGTTCTTCTTATTGAAGTAGGAATGATGGTGGGAAGTTTTCAAAGTTGCTTGGATCAAACCCAGGGCTTTATACGTGCTAGATAAGCATTCTTCCACTGAGCTATACCCTCATCCCAGAACAGGTATTTTTGGAGTCATCTGTAGTTTGTTTTAGGTTCTGGGGAATATCATCTTATTTGTTCTGTACAATAAAGCCATTATCTTAGTACATTATGGGACCAAAATAGATCTAAGTAGTTTAGTCTGTATCTTTCTAGAGAAGTCACACACTGCCTTGATGTCTCAATGTCCTTCATATACATGGTGCATGCTTTGATTTCCATGTTAAGCACTGTATTAGTTAAGTCTTTTTTTTTATGCTGTTAAAATATCACCAGAACTCATGAGCATTCTTGCCAAGCCATCGTAGAAGAATCCCATAAAAATTTATAGCTTACATATTTAAACTTTACAGAGTTTCACAATTTTTAATACTAGTACAGACAAATACACTATTTTGTTCTTTGTTAGGTAAGGCATATAATATTTTCAGAGCAATGTCAGTATCTTATTGACATTGTTTCCATCAATTACTATCTCTTTCTTACACAATTCCTTACTAATTAAAACTCTCCCAACTCCTTCTTTGGACCTTTAGGCTAAAATTGGTAGAAATGATCAGGTACCAAAATATTGCCCAGTCAGTGTAGAAATTATGATTGAGTGTCATATCATTAGAACTAATTATCTGGAGTATATGGCATATCTTGAAGGAAGTAATAACAACAATGGCTTCTATTTATTAAATATGTACTAAATGCCAGATACTTTGTTAATACTTCCTTAGTTGCTTCATCTAATACTCATAGTTCTATAAGAGAGACACTATCTTACCTATGGACACATATAACTTGAAGATTTAGTAATTTTCCCAAGGCACACAGTGTCAGTCAAGATTTGACCCGCCTTACATTAAACTGTGAAACTCATGCCCCATGTTATTAAGAGAAAGTTGAATACAAGACCTTAATCATACTCTTAAATATGAAGAATCATTTCTTTTTCTTTTTTCTTTTTTTGTCAATCATGGGGCTTGAACTCAGGGCCTGGGTATTGTCTCTGAGTTCTTTCACTCAAGGCTAATGCTCTACCACTTTGAGCCACAGCTCCATCTCTATTTTTTTAAGTGGTTAATTAGAGATAAGAGTCTCATGGAATTTCCTGCCCGGGCCAGCTTCGAACTGCAATCCTCAGATCTCAACCTCCTGAGTAGCTTGGATTACAGGCATGAGCCACCAGCACCTGGCTGAAGAGTCATTTCTTTAAAAAAGCAGGGTATTGGGTCATTCAAAGTCATTTTAACTGAAGACATATCCTATATGATTTTTACCATTCCAAAGGAAAATGATAGCAATTCAGAAGAACAGAAGGATGAGATTAGCAAATACTGAATGTGATCCTGTAATATTCCATTAGCATTGAAGATCAGCTGGAGACTCATGGGTCTTTAAGAGATTGTCTGTGCTGATAGAATACTTAATACTCCATTCTTAAACCTGGCCTTGCTATCCTGCTCCTCTCTCTTTCCATCCTCAATTAAGCTGCCATTTGTATAGGATTTATTATGTGCCACTGGTCCATTCGAGAGATAGTAACAGAGGGGTGGAAGAAAACTGGATCATAAAAAATGGAGCTTACTTCATTTTTGGCTTGTCAAAGGGGCAACCAAGTCATAGCTGACCCTGAGAACAGACAGAGATAACCCAACTACAGGTACATTCTAGGCACTGAATCTCACACCAAATGCTGACTGCCTTTGTCAGCAGTAGATGTTTTTTTCTGAGTGACCGAGATGTACAAACTATCCAAAATGAGTGTGGTGTGGAGTATGTCATATTTTTCCAGGGAAGAATCTGCATTTCCTCCTTCTCTTGGGCTTTTAAACAAAACGGTATAAATGCGGATTTTTAAGGAAAATAAAGTTTCTTGACCTATCAAAATGTGAAAATATTGTATGGCAGTAGACCGTGCGAGTTCATTTTAGAGTCCTTTCCAGGAATTTTGAGTGTTAGGAATGTTGTTTTATGTAAGTGGGATTATGTTAAATCATATTTTAAATGCCTAGTGAAATTTGGGACTCTTTATTCATTGTTTTCAAGTCAACTAATTTAAAAGAAGACTGTTACTTCTTTAGAGACATCTTACTTCTTTCACAAGCTTGGAAGTAGAACTCTGACATTTGTGGTAATAGGCGAAGAAACCACAAACATCCAGAGTTTAAATGATTGCTTTTAGTCAGCACTAGCAATATGATAGGCTGTGAATATATAATTTTGAAGTTAAAATTTGATAAGCGAAAGTATACATGGGCATCTTAAGTATAATTAACCCTCTGCTTCTTTAGCTAATATGATCCCACCTCCCAGTCCCAATTTTCTCTGCATTTAGGAAGAATTGATTAGCTATTTGAGCTCTGAAGAAAAGCCTGTTTTCTGGTCTCTGGGTTTTGAATAACTGATAGGCCTTGCCTGAAGATAAGCTGGTGAAAGTTAGAGCTGGGGTTTCCCTACCTGGGTACTTATCAGTCTTCTCCTAAACCACAGTCTGCCTTTTGAGAGCTCTAATAATTAATTTGGTCTTCTCTCTTATTCTTCTACCCTCCCCCTTCCTCCTCCCTGTCTGTTCACAGGTTATCTTGACGAATCAAATTACAACGCATCTGAGTGGAGCCCGTGCTGCTCAGGCAGACCTGGTGTCTCCCGCTGATGATTTGTCCCTGACGGAAGGTAAGAGATCTGTCCTGAAAGTTGACACTGACATACAGCCCCGCTGCCTCCCTGCCTCCTGTTGAGAGCTGAGAGATATGGCTAATGGGTGCTGGCCAGTGAAGCCCAGCCTGGGACCGGGACATATAGGCTTGGTTGCCTTTCAAGGCACTTGATCACTTGGCTCCCAAATCTCTTGTCCTGTCTCTGTAAGTGAGCTCCCTTTTCACATGAATGAGTCATCTTCACAGCATCCAGTATTTCCATCTGGAGAGAAGCTTGTCCAGCCTCTGTGGCTAGTCTCAGGTCCTTAGCATGAGCACTGACAAATTGCAAAATGACGGTTTCTGAGACTGATGCTCAAAGGCTGCCTTGACTAGTAGTTTGATAGCAGTTTAGCTGTTCATTTGTACCGAATACCTTTGAACTGACTAATGATGAACGCATGTGCTAGAGATGTGTCTCTTCTGATCAGCTTTATAGCAATAATAAGACCAAATCTCTTTCACAGTATTAAATCTGCAAATTTTGACCTACCTTCTCCTGCTAGCAAAGGTTAGGCTGGATATATTTGTGGTTGCAATGAGCCTTGTGTAGCTAGCTGGGGAGATTATATCAGCAAGCCAGAGGGTGGTTTTTACTTTTATTGTAAGTTCTTACTTGACATTTCTGAGTTCTTCTAGTTGTAGTTGAATTTCAGGAACAGTGCTATGGGCCTAAGTAGATGACCATAGTTCTTCAACACTCCTCTTCCCTTTCCCTTTCTAAGAATTGTTCAAAGTGGAACACAGAAAACTTTTAGACTTAGCAAGGCTCTTAAGTAACTCCCGGGTATTCCTCTGAGGATCAGCTTTGGTATATAGCTCCAAAAGTTGCAAGAACCATACCCTGCTATTTGATGGTGTCTCTCAGAGTGCAAACTAATGATATATTTGTAAAAGTTGTCAAATGCTTTATGCTTTCTCTTTCTAAATTCAGTGATGCATCCTCCTCCTGCCACCTGGGCTGAAAGTCTGAATCACACAGAATTTATACTTCCTCAAAACCTGCTTTCATTACCATGTCTGCCTTCATTTTTCTTTCCAAATATATCTCTACCCTGTCCCCCTGTTTTATAATTTATATTATGATCAACTTATTTATTAAACCCATAACTATCTCAATTCAATAAAATCTAAAAGACAATCCCAACTCAAGTCTCTGCCACTTCCAATTTGTCCCTACTTTCTCCTTCCAGCTTCTTTCTTTTGTGTCTCACTCCTATTTAAACCACTGGGAATTGTCTTCTCTGAAAATGAGCTAGAATGAATCAGATAGTATTTGAATACTCAGAGATTTAAGATTTGTTATAATCAGCCAGCATAGAAAAATTTACACCATGGCCTCAGAAATGCAAAAACTCAAGTGTTTTGCTTTTCTTTTGAGTAGACCAGTTTTCAGAACACCACTAGGTAAGTTTAATGCTTCTTAACACGTTAGAGTCTACCTTTTCCTTCCAGTTCATCCTGCTGATTCCTTAGGTGAAACTCCTATGCCAAGTGTGTCGGTCTTCTGCCTGCCCTCCTTACTCCTCTCCATGTGTCTAGATACAAATTAGTTTTTCCCTTTCCCAATTCTATGGCTTTTTTTTTTTTTTTTTGACATGGAAGCGTTTTAAAGACTGCCTCTTACGTGAAACCTTCTTGCCTCTACAGTTGGACTTGCTCCTCCTCTCTGGCTTCTCTACTTTTTCAGTTATATAAAGAAAATGTCCTGAAAAATTAACAACTTTTTATATTTTCTGACTAAGATGACAGATTTTTAAAGTCATAATTTACATTGTTTTTGGTGTTGTGTTGATGGTTTGCTCCTGTGGTACCAATGTTCTAGACACATTATAATCAGTAAATCAATACTAGATGACTATTATAGTACATACATTTGGAAGAACAATAACTATGTTAATTACATAAAACAATTAGGAACATCATTAAAAATGGTTATAATTATACACACTCGCGCGCATGCACGCACACACACATACACACAGATCTCTGAGGAGACTAGAAGAGAATATCTTACTTTTTTATTTCAAAGTCAAAAAGTCACTTTTCTTTGTCTTGACATCCTACTTTATCTTAAGCAAAGAAGATTTGCAAAACACACAAAATAAATGGCTCTGAATTCTAGTGTAACTGCTTTGAGAAAAATGATGAGGTTTTAACAAAGGGAGAGTTACCAGCTCAAAACAACTTTTCCTAATTACAACATCCAAGGGAAAATGCAATTAGTATTTCTAGATCTCTTTTTTGTACAACTAAACATGTAAAGAACAGAAGTATTTTTCTAAAAGTCTATAATGAAGCTACTTACCAGTGCAGTAAAGTAGACAAATGTGAGCTGCGGATATACCTGGTGGTTAACCATTTGCCTTGCATGCACAAGACCCTGGGTTTTATACCCAGCACTGAAAAAGAAAAGAAAAAAAGAACACACATTTCTGAGAACATTTATTCCCATTCAAGCTTATTGCAGTGGCTGAATGAAGTTACAGATATGAAGTATTCAAAACATAAATTGCCTTGTTTCAAACATTCATTGTATCAGTTTTGCCTATGATCTTGGGTTGACCTTTTAAGCATATTAGGCCTCAGTTTCTCTTAGGTTCAGTGTTAGGTTGGATCACTAAAAGATTGCTCAAGTCTTTTCCAGCTGACAGACTTACATTGTAAGGTGGGTCTGCACCCCAGGAGCACCCACCCCTGCATGGGGTTTATGTACTGATTTACAGAGGCCTGTAATAGATTTCAGCTGCAAAGCAGAGGACATTGCTTAAAACAGTTGTGGGGTGAGAACAAATGGTCAAGAGCAGCCAGCGAGAAAATGATCTGAGGTGACCTGAGAGGAGAGGACCCAGCAGGGGCTGATGCAGGAAAATGAACGCTCTTCTGCACTGACGCAAGTGACCTGGCCCAACTGAAAGATCTCTTCTACCCCAGCGGATCCTGTGCTATTAATATCTGCCAGCTGCAAGCCCAGAGCATCCCCTGCCGAGATCAAAGGAGCCCCTATCTTAGCTAGAACAAGGTCATCTGCACAGGGCTATAAAAGTGAGCCTGGGCTGGCTGCAGGGACATTTATGGGGGAGGAGAAGTCAGGAGATGGGGAGGTGCTCTCACGCTCCTTTAATCTCAGCTGACCAGCTGTTGCCCTCTCCGTGTTTGTAAGGTTGAGAGTTCTTTGTTTTTGTGTTGCTCTCCCTTCCCTTCTTTATTACATTTACAGCAGGGTTGTTGCTTAGATTAAGTAGACTCCATGCTCACTGCTTGAGTCCACTGTATGACTTCCTTCTTGGAGATTTCATCCACTGGAGTTTTCCAGCTCCTAAGCCGGAAAGCCACAAAAGTGAGATGTGAATTCAAGGCCAATGACTTGCTTGTGTCTTGAGAAAGGGACGAGGTAGCAATTTAATTTCCCTTATTTAGTTAATGCTGTTTATATATCATGTGCTTGTCAGTGTGTACCCTGCCTTTCACAAACTATCTCATTTATTTGGGAGAATGTAACTTTTAGAATTCATGAAACTTGACAAGAGTTACAAAGTCATCCATCCTAGTGTTTCTTATGCTCATTGGCTGACACATACCTGATTGTCTCTATGTTGGTCTGAGAGAGAAGCAAAGAGAACAAGAGAATGACAAGATCAGCAATGTACACATGGTGAGAAAGAGACTTCCATACACTAGGAAGGGGGGTGGGGAGGAGTTGTTACAGGTACACCAAAGTATCAAGATTAAAGTTTCTGAAGGTCCTTATAATTATGTTTAACCTAGGGCAGTATTAGTTACTCTTTTTTAATTTTTATTAATTTTTTGTTTATGTGGTACTAAGATATCGAACCCAGGGCTTCAGGCATGCTAAGCAAGCACTCTAGCACTACGCCATATTCCCAGTCCTATTAGTCACTCTTTACAAGAGAATTAAATCTCATCAGTAGCTGAATGCTCCTGATCTCCATACCCAACTCATCATCTTATAATATCACAGCTGAAGGAACTGAGTAATGTTCTTTTTGTCCACAGAAGAGATGGTTTTGTATTTTGCATTATTCTGAGGTAGCCACTGTGATTAAATACATTTTCTTCCATTTTTGTATTTTTGGCAAAAACACCAGTATATACATTATCCTGACAGTTGGTGATTAGTTTTGTGACAGTTCTGTTTCTTAGCCCTTTGCCACTTCTTCCTTGTGTCCATTTATGACCCTAAGGATTGTTGGAACCTCAATCACAGGGACCGCCTCCTTCCTACATTGACAGAGAAAAGATCTTGAGGCTACATCTACTAGAACACAGTTGGCAGGTGACATTGATGTATGGAGACAGTTGAGCCTTGTGCTTAATTGAAGCCTTGCTTAACCTAGACCTTTAGCTTTCTTCTTTTGATGATTTGGTATGGTCACAGTTACTTTCAGTGTGGTGACATGGTCCATACCAGCATCTGGCATGTTGATATTTTTATATTGATATTATCCATTTTTATAGACTAGAGTACGTGAAACCTAAAAATTAAAAGGTCAAGGAAAGAACATAAGGGGAAAAAAAGTTACTGCTTACTAGAACCCAGAGTGGTTTCTCCTTTTAGTGCTGGAATCCTTCCTTCCCAGCTAGAGTCAAGGGAGTTGATGGCTGATTTCATGTTCAAGAGAAAGTATTTTGGGATTCAAGTTCCCTAACAAGCCATCCCTGCAAAAAGCTGGAGACCATTTGAAAGATTATATGCAAGTGTGTGTGGCTTGTGTCTCTTTTAAAATAAATTCAGCAAGCAAGAGCAACACAGAATGGTTGGGGCAAATCAGGGACTCATGGTTGTGAAAGACGCAGACTTCAAAGTGTGGTATGATTTTCTGAGTTTTATTTCCACTCTTGCTTTCCAGCTGGATCTGCTCTGGATTTACTGCAGGATGTTTGAAAATGTGGCTCCCTGCTAATCTCAGACAGTTGCTATGATCAATGGTTTCTTGCGTTTCCGATAGAAAACAT